CCGACACACCCACACCCGACACACCCACACCCGACACACCCACACCCACATCGCACACCCATACCGTACGCCCACCCACACCCACACCCTTCCATGTTTTAGTTCCTCTGGAGCTGCGCTAACAAGTCTTTTTTACTGATTAGTTTAGTGTGAAAAAATTTTTACAGTTTTAAAAGATGTCTCTAAAGGTCTGAGTATATTTAAGAAATCAAGGTTATACAAAGGCGGGGAAACCACGCAATTTCGTCGTGCACCGTCACCGCCCCGCCCCGTCAAGTTTTAGCACCGCCCCACTGGCGGGGCGGGGCGGGACGGGGCGGTTTTACACCACGGCTCGTCCATCTCTGGTCCTTCGACTTTCTGCCAGAAAAATGGTGATTAGTGCTTAAAAACTGAGTTTCTGCCAGATATTACTATGAAGTTTTCAAAAATTTGGCAGAAAGTATATGAAATTTTCGCAGAAAGTCGGACATTTATTCAAGTTTGGGGAGGCTAGACCTCCCCACCCCCCCCCCCCCCCTTTAATCGGGAACCTTGATTATGTAACTAGAATAATGAGAGTAAAGATTTTATATATATTACTTCTTCTTTCTTTATTTCCATAATCATTTTAATAGATGAAATTTATTATGAAAATGAATCATGGATTCACAGATCACGTTAAACTTATTAAATTTAAAATGATTCTTGTGTACGTCTTTAGAAATTGATACATAATCAAGATGTATATATATTGCTTCTTTAAATGTATATATACATATATTTAAATGTTTTCTCTCTTATCAATTGATCCTATATTTAATTCCCACAATTTCAAACTAATAAATATATTTTTGTTTACTCTTAACTTCAGTTCAGTGTTTTTCAGTCATTTTGCATTTGAATTTCATGATCTATTACCATCTAATAATTTGTTCTTTCTGTTTCTTTATATTTCATAAATTGAATCATATATAAAATTGCTAAATGCTGCAAAAAGCCATTATAGAATAATAGTTGTTTGTTTTTGCACAGATTAAAGTGTAATGAAAAAAAAAATACAACTCCATATCGATTCATATTGTGAAATCACTTGTTTCTCTATGTTCAAAGAAAATGTACTTACAAATAAATGTTCGAATACATGCAAATAGTCGGGTCTAGGACAGTCGCTTGCCAAGGCATTTTCTCGCGGATGTGGATGTGCGAGTTGATATTGAAGTACCTAGAGATAAGCAATGCACTCACCTTCACCCTTAAACGCCTTGGCGAGCAACTGTCCGGCTCCCAAATAGTCGATTTCTTGAAACAAATTCGTTGTAATGCATTTATTTTTTGAAAAACATTAATATAACATTATTAGATGCAGACTGGAATAAGGTAGAACAAAATAACATTCAATATAGAGGAAAAGATTCTTTATCGTTTTAAAAAGTGTTACCTTAGAGTGTATTTGTGTGTCTGTAGATGTCTCTAGATTGCAAGTGATTTCAAACAAGATCATAATAATTTTTGATTGGATACGATTCAAACAATGTATATATATATGTTTTTGTTTTGAATTGTGATTTATGAACGTCAATTATCCTGTTTTTTTCAGTGTAAGAATAAATAAAATGTCTGTGTAGAAACAAAAATACTAATCAGCTTTTTATCATTGGAATAAAATAATTATATGATTATAATTTTCAGTCTTAAACTTTCAGATTATTCGAAATAAAAATTTCATCATTTATTAATTTCACAAAAGAAAACAATGAGTTCATCATTATCGCCAACATCGGCATCCGGATCACAAGAAGTGTAAGTTGAGATATACTTGTTATTCGCACACATTCAGCGTAATGTTTTGAACGTGAGTACTGACGT